AAGGTCCCAGGTTCGATTCCGTCAAGGGCACATGTCTGGGTTGTGGGCTCGATCCCCAGTGGGGGACTTGCAGAAGGCAGCTGAGCCATGATTCTCTCTCATCATGGATGTTTCTATCTCTCTCCTTCTTCCTTCCTCTCTGAAATCAATAAAAAAATGTATTTTTTAAAAAAGACCTTTGTTTAATCTCTTCCTGCCACCCCCACCCCCTTCCCTCTGAGAATCGTCAGTCTGTTCCATTCCCATGCCTCTGATTCTATTTGATTCACCAGTTTATTCTGTTCATTAGATTTCTTATTCGTTTATTTTGATTTTTAGATTCAATTGTTGATAGGTATGTATTTGTTGCCATTTTCTTGTTCATATATTTTATCTTTTTCTTCTTCCACTTCTTAAAGAATACTCTTCAGCATTTCATGTAATCTTGGTTTGGTGGTGATAAACTCTTTAGCTTTTTCTTGTCTGTGAAGCTCTTTATCTGACCTTCAATTCTACATGATAGCTTTGCTGGGTAGAGTAATCTTGGTTGTAGGTTCTTGCTGTTCATCACTTTGAATATTTCTTGCCACTCCCTTCTGGCCTGCATAATTTCTGTTGAGAACTCAGCTGACCGTTGTATGGGCACTCCTTTGTAGGTAACTAACTGCTTTTCTCTTGCTGCTTTTAAGATTCTCTGTCTTTAGCCCTTGGCATTTTAATTATGAGGTCCTCTGTCAAGCCCTGCCTGGTGGGGGACTCGCCTGAGGTCCCCTGTCAAGCCTCATGGGGGCGGGGGAGGGCCTAGCCTCAGGTCCCTGCTGATTGCTTGTTAAGGCTCCTTAAGGGAACTTGGCTTCAGCTGTGGGTGCAGCCATCTTTGTGATGGAGTGATGGTAAATTAGCATATTCCCTCTTTATTAGATAGGCTGTTTGGGGCTCCCTGACCCAGGTATGGCTTGTTTGAGAGATTTTAGCCTGAGCAAGGACAGGCCATTCATATGCAAAAACGGCTGCATACAGGTTTTGGTGTTGTAAATTGGATGAGGCGGGGTCTTAGGGAATCAGCAGGGTGGAACAAACAGAAATGGCTGCTAGTCAGCCCTGCCCGGGAGGTGTCAGCATACGAACAATGATCCCTGAGAGCATCTCTGTCTGGCAGAAAGCTACCCCTGAGTTCCTGCCCCGATGCCAGACAATCCAGTTCCTCATCATGTGTGTCTGTGTCCCCCGGAGCCTCGTCCTGGTGCTGGAGCTCAGGGGAAGCGGGACCTTGTAAGTTCAGTGGGTGGTGTCGGCCTTTTAAGAGGAACAGCTGGGTCTTCAGCCTGTGTGTCACTGAGCCCCAATCCGAACTGGTTTTTACAGGCATAGGGACTTCTTTTCCCAGCCCCGGAACCCTGGGTCTGGTTGGGGCTGGGACTCCTTGTTCCTCCAGGTGGCTCTGCAGAGACGATCTCTCCCCCACTTAAAAACTCGGCCCACGTGGGTGTCAGACCAACCCGATCCGCACCTCCGCATGTCCTATCAAGTCTCTGTGCTTTCTTCCTTACTCCTCTAGCTGTGGGACTTCCATTCCGCCAGCTTCCCAGCGGTTCTGGGTGATGGTGGTTCTGTATTTCAGTTGTAATGTTGATATGGTTGTGGGAGGCAGCGAGTACAGGCGTTTACCTGTGCCGCCATCTTCTGTGCCTTCCCTTTCACACACACACACACACACACACACACACACACACACACACACATATATATTTTTGTGGTCAGCCATGAGGAAAGGAACTTTTCTTCTGTGGCTGAGATTTTGTTGCTTGTTTGGAAGCTCGGTGCCAGGCGGGGGAATGGTGCACAGTTCTTGCCATGCTGCGGGCTAACACCCTGAGGAGCTATTCCCGCTCTGCTCGGGGACAGGTGGATGGAAGTGCCCATGGCTTCTGAGGTTGCTGAGCTGTTACCCTAGGCACGTGGCTCTTTGGCCCCCTGAGTGTGGCTCTTTCACAAAATACCACGGCCTGGGTGAGTCTATTTGGAAGAAGTGGCATTAGAAGTTGAAGGTTAAAAAATTTGGCTCTCTAAAGAAATTTCAGTCATTGTACTGTTGATGTTTGGCTCTGTGGACTTATGAGTTTGCTGACCACTGGCCTAGGCCCGCTCCCTCACAAGTTAATATCATCAGACGACACGCCCTGATTTCTTTTTCCTGGCCAATGTGCCTAGAAATTACTATGAGACATTATTACGGAAATTGGACTATTGTGCCAGGGACAGAGAAAGGCCAGACATTGATGGTTGTTTCCTGCCCAAAACCCAGGTGGGGCTGGGGATCAAACCTGCAACCCAGACACATGCCCTTGACCAGGAATCAAACCCACAACCCTTGGGTGCAACAGCCAACACTCTGACCACTGAACCACACTGGCCAGGGCAATTTATTTTGTAAAATTTATATCTGTTGTTGCAAGTATTACAGATGACCCCCATTTCCCCCCCTCTCCCTCCTTCCCCCGGTTCCCACCCCAAGAACCTGTGTTTTAATGTGCACCTGGGAGCTTGGTCTGTGCGTTACCGTCTGAGACATGCCAGGCCCCCGCCTGCACTGCCTCCTGGGTAGGAGCTGCCTCTCTCGACACCGCCCCTCCCAGCCCCCGCGCTCCTGGCCGGCCCCGCCCCCACTGGGCCTCTGACTGCTGGGGGCTGGAGTGCCCCCCCTCCGTGGTCACCTGCCTGTGGGTCTGTGTCTCTGTAGGTGGCTGCCTCAGTCTCCCACCCCCAGGGCTTCAGTCCCTCCGCAGGGGTCACTCCATGTGGGGTCATCTTCCCCTGGGCACCCTCTTTTTAAAAATATTTTTATTGATTTCAGAGAGAGGGAGAGAGCGAGAGACATCAGTGATGAGAGAGAATTGGCTGCCTCCTGCAGGCCCCCCACTGGGAATGGAGCCCACAACCCGGGCACTTGCCCTTAAACCGGAATAGAACCCAGGACCCTTCGGTCCGCTCTATCCACTGAGCCACACTGGCTGGGGCTCCCTGGGCACCCTCTGCCCCACAGCCAGCTGCCCACCGGGCCCTTCCCCTGGGCAGCCCCCGGCCTCTCACACGGGCATGTCAGCCCTTGAACCTCCGCCTCGTGGGGCCGGCACCTCACTATTACCTGCGGGGAGGTGTAATCCGGGGCGGGCGGGAACTTGTTTGCCGTCCGTCTGTCATTACATCGGGATAAAATTGTCTAGACGTTCGAAACCGGTTGTTCCCGGAATGGATTGCTTCACAGGCTTGCTATGAGTGGTCTTTAGTTTTATTTACGGTGTGGACGTGTGATGAATAGTTGCTTTATTAACCCCAGTTCAGCTGTCCTCGGATTGAGGCGGAGATTGGGGGGAAGGTGAGGTTTCCGAAGTGAGGCGTCCTCAGTGGCTTCGTTCCCATTTCAACCTCCCGGAGGGGGCGCTGCCCACTGAGCCACCTGCTTGGACTTGAAGGAATTCTTGGGAGCACCGAGGTGTACAGTGGGGGGCAGCAAGCTTTCAAATCGTACCCTTGTCTATGTGTGGCCGTTCATTTGTTCACGTGCTTTCTTAGTAGTTTGTGAAGAGAATGGCTTTTTGGTGCAAAACGGGTTGGCAAACGTTTTTTGTAACGAGCCAAGTGGTAAATGTCTGGCTTTGTGGCCAGGCTTGTCAGCTCTGCCTTGTGGCAGGTGTAAGCCAGCGGCGCGGTCGTGTTCCCATGCAGTTTCCTCCACATGCCTCCTCCTCCAGGCAGAAGGCAGCCGGATGGATTGGGCTCATGGTGACGGGTCCAGAACCGGGCTGTCTCACTGACACTGAATCCATCGGATCATTACTACGAAGGGAAAACTGGGTTAAGGATTTAAAGATTAAGATTTCTCAGGGCGAAGGCCGGTGTGCTTAGTGGTTGAGCGAAGACCAATGAACCAGGAGATCACGGTTCGATTCCCAGTCAGGGCACACGCCTGGGTTGCGGGCTCAGTCACCAGTGTGGGGCGTGCAGGAGGCAGCTGGTCCATGATTCTCTCTCATCACTGATGTCTCTCTCTCACCCCCTCCCTTCCTCTCTGAAATCAGTAAAATATACGTGTTTGGCACCGAGTCGTGGTTATGTTAATATACACAGGCGGTATAACAGTCTAATTGGGGCTCTAATCAAAGAGCCGAGGCACTGTGAGGCCGCCAGGATGGGGAGCAGTCGGGACCTGTGTGCGCTGGTGTGCCTGGTAGTTCAGTTGAACCCGATACACCAAGGTTGTCGGTTCGAAACCCAGTGAGGGCACATATAAGAATCAACTAATAAACGCGTAAACAAGTGGAACAAGTTGATGTTCCTCTCTCTCTCAAATCAATCACTACGATAGATAGATAGATAGATAGATAGACAGAGAAAAGCGGTCTGGCAGTTCCTCAAAATGCCCACCGTAATTCCCACAGAACCCAGCAGTCCCACTCCTAGCCGTGTGTGAAGGGAAGGGAACACACATACAGAAACTTGGACTCTGTCCTAGCAGCACACAGCCGCATAAAAACAGCTCACCTGGGCGGGTGGCCCGCTGGCTGACCATTGTTCCACGCACCAGGAGGTCATGGTTCAATTCTCGGTCAAGGGCATGTACCTGGGTTGCAGGTTCAGTCCCTGGCCCAGATCGGGGCACCTGCAGGAGGCAGCAATCGATGTGAGACTTTTTCCCTCCCTCCTTCCCTCCCTCCCTCTTTCTCTAAAAATGAATGGAAAATTACCTTCAGGTGAGATTAACGGCGATAAAGATGAGTCACTGCTCTGGGCTGTGTGTTCCTGAGCGGTCCACGCTGTTCCCTCGGTGTACACAGCCCGCACCCAGCAGAGGCAGCCCACATGGAGGCAGGGCACCTCGGGGCCCAGATGGCCCCTTTCCCTCCGTAGTGTGAAGGCGGGCCCTCGGGCCTGCGGGGGAGGGGGGGAGGGCAGCCTCCTGGCCACATTCTGGGCACCTGTTTGCCGACCCGGGAGCTCACTGGCCGGCTTCCTCGTTGCAGGTGGAAGAAGGAAGCAAAGCTGCGGCGGTGGACAAGCTGCTGGCGGGAGACGAGATCGTGGGCATCAATGACATCGGCCTCTCGGGGTTCAGACAGGAAGCGATTTGCCTGGTGAAGGGATCCCACAAGACCCTGAAGCTGGTGGTCAAAAGGTAAGCCCCGGGCCTCACGAGTTAACCAAGACACACGGCATGGAGTAGACAGCAAGATGTGCCGCCTGATTTAAATTGCGTGTGTGCATGCATATAGTATTGTTGTCTTTTGGCCAAGGATGAATGAAGCAGCAAACATTTTAAAAGATCCCTTTTATGACTGCTGACGGTTTATTTGGATTTATGAAGCGAATGTGAGGAGTCATGTCTCCGGCAATGTGGAGATTGTCCTTTTGGCAGAGAAAAGCCTCTGCTTTTGTTCCAATGAGCGGCGTGGTTGCTGAGAACTGGGCCTGCGGGTAGACCGAGCGGGGCGATGGTGATGGTGGGAGCGGGGGCTTGCCCCTCCACGGTAAGGCTGGTGAGAGACCAGCTCTGGGATCATTGCCCAGCTCCGGGGTGACTGGCCCCCCCCATTGTTTCTGTGGTGGCGCTGCCGGAGCCCCCACACACTGGGCAGCCCGTTGGCTTACTGCGGGGACAGTGGTCTCTCTCCGGGGCCCTGCCAGCTCGGTGCGGGCAGATACGGGGGCTTCCCACAGCGCTCGGTGCACGGGGGCACGTGCGGACTGGCTGATGGAGTGAAGCTGATTGGAACCGCCCCTGGGCGTGTGTCACCGGGGATCTGATGGGGATGCTGCCTCCTGGGGCTCAGTCATGAAACCTGTAAATGTGACCTGGCCAGCCCAGCGCTGCAGCAATAGCATGGACACTCGTGGGACAGAGTCAGGAGGCAGGGATATTTTCGCTGCTGCACCCAACAAGGGAAAACAAAACACCGGTCACTGCCGGCTCGTATTCCAGGCCCACACAGCCGGTGTAGGGTAGCAGAGCTGGTTTAGTGGAAGCAGAGAGAGAATGGAATCGCGCTCCCCAGTGGGAAGTGGGATGTGAGCACAAACTGGCGGTCCCTCAAATGAGAAGATGAAGTAGGAAGCGGCGTGTCCAGACACTAGGAATCCAGGTTTAAAGGCCAGACCTAGGCTTTGTCTCCCAGGCTAGCTAGTGGAGTAGCGCCCCCTGGTGGTGAGTGGGGACAAACAGGGCTTGTTCCATATGATGCTGATTAGGTTACAAGTTATAGACAGCCCTCCTGGTGAGCAGCTTGGCAACACGTCTCAAAAAGCGGATCTTGGAACGGAATTTCATTTCTGGGGTCCTAGACATTCAGCAAAGGGGATCACTCCGCTGGCGAGTGCCGGCGTTACAAGTGTGTGCCAGTGTGCACTGACATGGAGAGGTCCCCATAAGTTAAGGTTTGGGACTTTTTAAAAACGCCACGGGATGCGGGACAGATTGTTAAAAATCGGGACTGTCCCGCCAAAAGCGGGACGTCTGGTCACCTTACCGTAAGTCCAGGTGAGTGGCACGTGTGTGTGTTTATAGATACTTCCCATTTTAAAAAACGTTTTACATTTCTAATCGTGGTAAACCCTGCTAGCAGTTCTCAATCTGTGGGTTGCTGCTGTAGAGCCTAAGACCATCGGAAAACACAGATATGTACATTATGATTCATAAACAGTAGCAAAATGACAGTTATGAAGTAGCAACGAAAATAATGTTATGGTTGGTGGTCACCACAACATGAGGAGCTGGATTAGAGGGCCACAGCATTAGGAAGGGTGAGAACCACTGTTTTAGAGGATGATGGGGGCAGAGGGGCGGGGAGAAACATCGACGTGAGAGAGATGGAACCAGCAACCTGGGTATGTACAGGTTGATGCTCCAACCAGCTAAGCCAGAGCTGGCGGGCCCAGCCCCTGCATTTTTATTTTTATTTTTAAATATATTTTATTGATTTTTTACAGAGAGAAAGGGAGAGAGATAGAGAGCTAGAAGCGTCGATGAGAGAGAAACATCGACCAGCTGCCTCTTGCACGCCCCCCACTGGGGATGTGCCCGCAACCAATGTACATGCCCTTGACCGGAATCGAACCTGGGACCTTTCAGTCCGCAGACCAACGCTCTACCACTGAGCCAAACCGGTTTTGGCAGCCCCTGCAGTTTTAAAGAGGAGAGCTTGCCCGGCCAGTTGGCTCAGTGGTTGACACCCAGGAGGTCACGGTTCAATTACGGGTCAGGGCACATGCCAGGTGGCAGGAGGCAGCCAATCCATGATTCTCTCTCAGCATGGATGTTTCTGTCTCTCTCTCCTGGCCTTCCTCTCTGAAATCAATAAACACATATTTAAGAAAATAATATTTTTAACAAAAGAAAGCGGAGAGGCCTTTGGGGTGGGTGTGCCCGTGCTCACGGGGCAGCAGGAGGCTGTCCAGCAGTTGCCCTGTGGCATCTTCCTGTTGGGGCAGACCCAGCCGGGCTGTTTATGGTGAACAGACAGGAAGGATGGCTCTTGGGAGTGGACTGGCCTCCCGGCCACACGGGCTTCCGGGGCAGCTCTGTGCCTTGTGGCTTGCTGGGTTCTGTGGACGGGACAGGTGACAAGTGGCTTTATTGCTTACGTGGGCATTCCTGCCGCTGCAGTGAGGGCGGCCGCGTTCCGGAGCTCAGCAGCTTGTCTTCGAACTAGAGGAAAAGAATCGAACGTTTAAGGTGGCTGGTCCGATTCCTGGTCAAGGCCACCCACTCTAAAAGGCAACGGGAAAAAATACCCTCCTGTGAGGATGAACCAAACAGAAAAAGCGGCTACTTTATAAAAAGGCACTGTCAGTTATCCACACCATTGCGAAATAGTTATTTTCCCCAAGAGGACGGCCAGACTCAGCCTGGTTCAATCTGAGGGCGCCCTACCCCCTGAGGTGCCCGCGAAGGCGGCCTTTCAGGTGAGGGTGCTGAGCGCTGAGCATGGCCAGGTCGGGTGTGTTTCTGGGGAACGGGGTGTGTGCGCCTCCATATAACACACCCCTGGTGCCCGGCCCGCGGGGTTCAGTGATTGAGCGTCCACCCAGGAACCAGGACACTATGGTTCAATTCCGGTCAAGGGCACCTGCCTGGGTTGTGGGTTTGATCCCCAGTAGGGGGCGTGCAGGAGGCAGCTGATCCACAACTCTCTCTTCATTGATATCCCCCCCCCTTCACTCTGAAATCAATGAAATATATATTTTAAAAACAAGTAGAAAATCAAACATGCCCCTGGCTTGGTAAGTGCACGGCCCCTCCCTCGGGGACAGCTGCTGTGTACCGAGCTGCAGATGGCTTGGTTTCAGGGGCGTGGGGAGCCCCGGCCCCCAGGATAGGGTTGCGGGGGCCGGTGTCGCACAGCCTTGGCGTTCTGTTTCACGGGCCTGGCAGCGCCTATCTTGTCATCATGGAGCGGCCGGGCCGGGGGCGACGCGAGGAGACACAGGATCGCTATCTGCCCCTCGACGTGCCTTTCCCAGACGGATGAGAACGCCACTTCCTTTCTCCCCAGCGGTGTCGCTGGGAACAAAGGACTGTAACTGGAGCCCCCGCCAAGCGCACATATGTTCTCCTCCGGGATGCCCAGGCGGTGCCCGGGCCAGTGGGGCGGGGCGGGGCGTCTGCCCAGCTGTCAATCACGCCAGGCCCGTGGGAGAGGCTGAGCAGCGAGCCAGTGCCTTGCCCTTCCTCCCAGCACGCTGTCCCCTCGCCCGGCCAACGGGCTGCTCCTTGCAGGAACCAGGCGCGCTAGGGCGGATGTGGTAACCTTTCCTTGTTTCTCTTGGCTGCCGCCTGCACTGCTTTCCGGGGTGTCCAGGCCACACCCCGGAGATCCTGGTGGACGCTTCTGGAACAGCCCCAGGCCACTCTGCTGTGATGCCGCTGCGGGCTTAAGCAGATGTGCTTGGAAAGGGGTGAGACCAGAAACGGGGTCACCTGTGCGGTCCCCTGAGGAGTGGCCAGGAGCTAAGCCCCTCGCCGGGGCGGGCGCGGCTCGCTGCGGCCAAGGCTGTCACCGTCCCCTGTGTGGACAGCGCTGGGCAGTCTCCACTTTTCTCACTTCAGAGGCAAATTCCCACAAATGCAGCTCCCCAAAAGTACATACACTTTTACTTTTTATTTTATTTTATTTTATTTTTAATCCCCACCCAAGGATAGTTTTCCATTGATTCTTAGGGAGAGTGGGAGAGAGAGGGAAAGATGCAGAGAAATACATCGATGGGCTGCCTTCTTCATGCCCCCTGACCAGGACCTGGGTTGGGAAGGAGCCTGAACATGCCCTTGACCGGAATCGAACCTGGGACCCTTTGGTCCACAGGCCGATGCTGTAAACACTGACCCAAACTGGCTAGGGCTCAAAAGTACATACAATTTTAAACCCCTTGGAAAGTTTTCCTTGAAAGTCATGCCATCAGTCATTTTCTAAAGCTTGTTCTTGCTGTCCCAGTCCCCCCAGTTGGTATGGTGACGTTCGTTTTGTTTGCAGCGAAGACTGCCTGCCACCTCAGCATGAATCTCACTCTCAGCCAGCCGGTGTGGCCAGCCCAGTGGCCAAATTATCCGTAAGGTTGACTCATGTCACTTCCTGCCTCTGCTGGCAGCCTAAACCGCTTTGTGACTTCGATTGCGTCCGCTAAGCCGGCATGGGGCCGGGGATTAGCACCCCGGGAGGAGGATCTCGGCCGCAGCTGTGGGTCACCAGACTGGCGGCAGGTGCTGCACTGGGAGAAAGGAGGCTTCCCGTCCAGGGACAGCCCTGGCCTGGCTGGGAGCGCGTTTCTCACCACACGCGCTGGGCTCTGGCGTCACTGCCTGGCAGCGAGTCCCGCCCGAGGCAGCCTGTCCCCGTCCCTGGCGCTGTCTGGGCAGGTGGCTCTGCGTGGGGCCCCCTGAGGATGCTCCGGAAGCAGCTCCGTGCACCCACGCAGCTGGAGGACCGGCGTCGCTAGGCTGGCCGCAGGTTGTGTCCCTTCCCCACCGCCCCCTCCGAGGGCTCTTCCTAGGGCAGGACAGCGGTTTGTTTATATTCTTCCTAATATATCTTATTGATGCCAGAGAGGAGGAGAGAGGGAGAGAGGGAAACATCCGTGATGAGAGGGAATCATGGGTCAGCTGCCTTCTGCACACCCCGCACGGGA